GAACCAGCGATGGATATCTAATGTTCATACCTCAAGAAATTAGTGGTAATTACTGAGTGAGCAATCAGAGTAATGGATCTAACATTTTGGGTCTCACTGCAGAGCAATTAGATGTGTCATTACTTGAGAGTTCGTGATAAGAATACAGGTCTAGAGACAAATTCTTTTAAAAATGAAAATCCTTACTTCCAGATAGGACATGGACACACTGTACAGCATGTCATCACTGGTCTCCTCAATGGCACGGAACAGGTCATTCAGAGTTCGAACATAGATGCCTGGCTCCTTGTCAGTCCCTAACATGGTGTACGTCTTTCCACAACCTGAAAACAAAATATAATACCTCTTATAGACCCAGTCTTAACCAAGTAGTGAGCACCGAGTGATGGACAAAATTAGCTACAGAGGTGAATTCGTGAAAAAACATTTTACAGTATAAATAAATGCCAATCATTTGCTCCTAACGTGTTAACTTTGTAGTTTCAAGGAGGAAACAACATGCATACACATGAGTGGCTACAACCTCTGTGCTTACTTTCTACAAGAGGAGGCCAAGAGTAGAGCTTGTGTGCGAGAAATGGCCAGGCACAAGGCAAAAAATGAAAGCAAGAGAAAGGTGGGGAACTTGATGGAGCAATGGCTCTGTACTAGTCTTTGACAGCCTGTGACTACCCGCTGGAAATGTGGGATGCAGAGCATGACTCATTTTCTAATCAGGCCTTTGCTAAAATCAAAAGTGAAACAGGTGTTAATAAGATGTCTACCTTTTCCCAAGAGCTTGCTGAATAGCTCTCTGGCTCAGGCTGACAACAGGTCAGGAGGGTTGCACATGTAATTAGTGTATGATACCCCTATGAGCACTGAGACTGAGTACTAAGAAATACACTTTGTTCTTGTTCAATGCACATACACTCGCACAAAACAAACCTGTGGGTCCATAGGCAAACACAGTGGCATTGTAGCCTGATATAAGGCCCTCAATTAAGCCTTTTGTTGTTGCCCGGTACACTTCCTCCTGTATAGGGAGGAGAAAATAAAGGGTTCAGGCCATACATAAACGGCTACACATCAATATGAATACAGTGCAATATTTGCTTAAATTTATTTATTTATTGTTTTTTTCTTTAACTCCTGACAAACCTGACTAGCGGAGAAGTCAAATGCTACATCAAACATGTAAGTCTTCTCCCTCGAGCGATTGGCACGCAGGATGTCGTCTGGGTCCTCCATGGGGTCCATCAGAACCACCATCTAATGATGAAGAAAATGGTTAAGCTACAGGAAAAGAAGACAGGCCTTTGCAGGCAAGGGGCTACACACTATTAACATTAGCGAGGCCATTGAACTTAGTAATGTGTTTGTTGTGTAGACAGTATGGTTTACTTTTAATAACAGTGGAAAGATGTGCTAATGAGCAAATGGGCTCTCTATTCAGTGACATTAGGTCCAGCTTGAAAGTGTGGCAAAGATAAATGACAAGAAGGTCAGCTGAAAGGCTACTGAAGCGTATTTCTGCTGGGATTAGATGGATGACTGTTCACTAATCATTACAGTATCTCATAAGTGCAGGAAAAAAATATATAAACGACCGCTCAGTTTCCAGGACTAGCTAACACAAAATAAAGATATGTCTCTTTGTGGCAGATCACTGCAGATGCAAGTTTCTGTTGAGCCCCTTACTGTGCTGTACATCTGGAAAAACAAGATAGCCATTTGCTTGATGTCCCCCTTCAGGCCAATGAGATGAGCTCCAGTACCTACTTAATGATCATAAAACACCATGCTCCAAGTGTGTCCATTTGGATTTATTTTACTACATTTATGGCTTCTAGTAGGTTTTAGCATTCAATTACCTTTTGTGACTATTTTAAAGGTTCTAGTTCACCATCTCGCCAACCTTTATAGTTTCCACATTTGCTAAAACACAGCTGTTGGTGTTAAATGACTGAATTGACTGTTTGTGACAGTGAAGAGGAATGTTCTGTGTAGTAGTATCAACTTACACCAATTTGTAACAGCATTTCTGTATTTTCTTGAATTAAAGGTGCATGTATTTAGCACTAAATTATATGTGTATAGACATATACACATACATACACACACACTAATTACTTGAGATTCTCCATAATCTGTTAATGTGGTCACAGGGGCAAACATACTATGGTTTTACCACAGATGGTATTTTAATATATTCAGATCCAAATTAAAGAAGCATGTACAAACCCCCCCCCCCCAAGAAAATACGTCTAACACAAAAAAGCAGTGTCACATGAAGACAAAGAAAGGAAGGGAAAGCAATTGTGCAACTTCACTTTTGTGCACCTTTGAGCCTAAATGTTAAAAGTAAAAACTTCTTCCACTTATATATATTATTAAAGTTAATGGTAAGAAATTGCATGTGAAAGATGAAAATGCCAGCGGAAGCTATTTCCTCCAGGAAATGAAAGCCACTTCTTGTGACAAATACAGTCCCCTCTACACTCATTTCACAGCTTGTATGTAGAATATGCATTTATGGAAATGGGAATCCACTCAGGCCATCTGTCTGAATCACGGTCATAGAACATAATGACCCAAAAAGCAGCTCACATGGCAAAGACAGTCATGCAGTAAAGAGACAAACTTCAGTTTTTTAGGGAGAAAATTGGAAACATTGGTGTTAAAAATATGCTAAAAATATGCTTTTGTACATGTGACAGCCACGGTAGCAGAAATTACACTGAATGTGAATAAGCACTGAAATGTCACATTCTTCTAATTGTTCGGTTTGACAAAACTAGTCCATTATCACTAGTAAATCACATCTCTGAAAAAGAATATTTCGGAAACAATGCAGAAACAGAACATCACGACATCAGGAAAAATATATTACAATAAGGATGACAAATCTCGGGTTTAGAGTGGTTCCAACTGACTTGGTGTGATTGTACACAGCTGAAGGAAAATTAGTTTTCTCACAGTATTGTAGGTTTGAATCTTGTGCAACTGACCTGGGAGAAAAATTAATAAAAACAGAGAGCACTTAAGTTTATTTTAGATATGACCATGGGGGGGCTAGGGGTTTGTCAGCTGACCAGCTCCTTTCAGCAGTGGGCCTTGAGAGTCCTCTGAGGCCTGAAGCACTCGGCTTGTTTGATGACCCCCCCCCCACTCTTCCAACCCCACCAACCACTGAACCGCTCACTTTGAAGCCTCTCAATTGAAATTCAAGAGAGGGTGGGGGGGTTCCACTTTTAATAAACTGGGAACAACAGATGAAGGCGGGGAGCATGGCAGGCTTATACAGGTTGCAATCAGAAAAGAGGGGGACAAAGAGGAGAGTGAAGTATTAAGAAAAAGAAAGAGTAAACATTGAAGGAAAACAACTATTTGTAACGAATTTATATTGTTACCTTTTCAGTTAGTATTTTTTCTATGGCATACATGTGAAGAAGATTAATGCCCCAATGTCCTTTCGACACAAAGATAACATGTCCAGCAACTGATGCCCATTCTTCCTCTTTCCCTAACTTCCTCCGTCTCCTGTAGCACCCAGATACCATGACGTACAAGCTCTGATCGCATTTCATAGAAAAGACACTGTGAACAACGTAGTACTTCTCTTAGGTGCTCTTAAGCCACTTAGTCTCAGTCAATGTGATGACCTTCGCAGACAATGTGAATGTAGTCAGAAGAATTATTCTGGCAAAGAGCAGCAAAGACACAAAAAGTGTGTAATTGAACATCTAATAATAAAATAAATGTATCAAAGTGGTCAGGAGCAAAAGAGGCCATGCCAATTGTAGTTACACCCAAGTGAGGGAGTGTTTTTGCCCACCTCTTAAGGGAAACCACTAGTCCCGGCGGTGACAAGAGGTGTAGGCAGGAAGGCCCGGGATGGACAGTCAGGCAAACAATAGTGATCCTTTCTGGCATTAACCTATTGTGACCATGGTAAAATGTAACTTTAACTCTAGATAGATGTTGTCACCCACAATTCCTCTTTCAGTCATCTTTCTATGATCTGAACCACACCTGCCACAACATAGAAGGGAGTGAGGGAAAATAAAAATTTTAGTTCAATTCAGTTTTATTTATTTATCATCATCTGAAAGCACTTAGTCTTGTAAGAAAAAGAGCCCAACATTAAACATAGATTTGCAACAGTAAATTGATCCTTTATGAGTGAGCATTTGGCAACACTGAGGAGAAAAAACAATCTTTAAAAGAAGTAGCAGAAATAATCACTTTGCTATAAAGATTTTTTACTTGTATATATTCTTCTATATATTCTTGTATATATTCTTGTGTAATTTTGTTGCTTGAAAAAGCTGATGAGCACACAGCAGTGCTGTTACATAATAGCAAGTATCAAATGCATGCTTTCATGCACAGTTCTGTTTCTGTGCATGCGCTTGGGAAATCATTAGGGACCAAGGGTGTTGATAACACATATAGTCCCATCTGTCATCTGTGTTTCTTGAGTTACAGTACAGGCTACCTTCCCACAGCTCCACCCATGAACATCCACACACAGCATCTGCTGCTTGGAAAGATTCTATACTATTAATTTTCTTAAGTCTCCTGATAAGACTTTAAGGTGCTGGCTCTAGTGTCAGTACACTGTGTGGCAACATAAGACAGGATGTCTGGACATGTGCCTAACCTTCCTGGGGTTTAGAAGTTCTCGACACAGACGGCCTTTACCGTAGGTTGTTCTCTGCATTTAATTAAGAGGCTTCTGAGAAGTGTCTGAGGTTAGGTACAGGTCAGTATTAGCCCTTGAGCACTGACGTCTAGCGTACAGAACAGGTTAAGAAACGCTTAGAAACGTAGTGTTCTTGACATTAGCTTTATACACATCCTCCCTCTTTCCGGTTTTTGCTCACAGTTACATGGAAACGTACTCAAACACACAGCGAAAGAAGCATGTTGATGTGTATAAGATGAAAAAGACAGTTTTAACGCACGTATGTTTGAGCACAAAGAAATTCACCTATACAAAAGGTACGTAATTTATTTCCCCACAAGAACCGACTAATCACATTTTGCCACTATGAGCACATTTGGCAAATGTTAAGATGAATTGATGAAACTGTTAGCTGGCAAAATGAGCCTTAAAATAGTTAATCAAACTCATCTCTCTTGAGTTGAGCTTACTTGAGGCGAAGCTGTGAGTCAGTGAACAGCTGCACAGCAACCATTCTCCAAACACAACTGCTACAATACAGCGAGCACATAGATCATTATAAGGGCCTATGTGTTTGCTGTTAACGATCAAAGTAAAGGACAGGCCAAAACTGTGATAGTATAGTAACAGTCAATTTGCCATCACGTCCATTAATGGCTTAGCACTCTGATGATAACAGCCAATTTCAGCGTGTGATTTCTAAACCTCTGCCAAAATGGTTAAACTTGGGTAGTGGTCAAACCATGATCTTTCAAAGATCCAGAAAGACACAATTTTAGATGTTTGACGTCAAAACAAGACTTTCCACTCAGTTCTAAATTGGCTCTTGTTGTTATTTCTACCAGGACCAATCGCCCCTTTTCACTGGCTGCTGACTTATTCATGGGCACCTCTGAAGGAGACATCAATTTTGACACAAGTGGGCTAGAAGCCCGATGCGCCTGAGAAAAGCACAAAGTGAAAAGGAAAGCAATTTCCTGGTTGACAGCCTCTACAAGCATGGTGTCATTTTTAGCAGTTTTAATCATGGTGTCACAATGGACATCACATGCTACAGCCACTTTTCATTTGGATGCAGTGCGTGACTCATTTTAACTTGACCTCGGAGGCTGGCAAAAAGAAAATGGTCAGAGCGTGAATTTATACATGGTGGCTAAGAAAAAAAGAGGCTATAAAATATTTATAGTATCTCAAGGATCAGCCAAAGTCCGACAACAGCTTGCTTATGAGGCGACATGAACCCAATTAGCATGATGGCATTATCTATACACCTGCAATAAACAGTGTGGTGAGATGGAGCAGTGCTGCCTGGTGCTTTTCTTGGCTGATGTGAATGATGATCCACAAGACCTGCTGTTGGGGTCATTAAACCAGCAGGATTGACTTGGTTGGCCATCCTGCTGACTATAGCACAGCTAGCCCCCACCGTAGATCTATAATTCAAAGCCTGGATGTGGTGCGGTTTCACTAGCGAGCCAGCCCTGGTTGCTTCTCCCTATCATGTGCCAAATGGAAAATGCTGCCAAGACGGGGAACAAAAGTCAGAAGTCTAGAGATCAACCAGTTTTCTAAGCACTATTTC